TGTCGGAACCAGCCCATTTTGAAGCTGCTGAAGGTGAAGCCGGAGCCCTTGCAGGAGAGGCGGAGGCTCCCGCCGGGCGCCTGGAGGCGCCTCCGGACTCAACCAGCTCCCTGTGCCCCTTGGACCTTCATCTACTGCAAGGGCTCCGGCTTCACCTTCAGCAGCTTCGCCATGGAGTGGTTCCGTCAACCGCATGGGAAGGCGCCCGAGTGGGTCGCGGGTATCAACACCGATGGTAGCACCTGGTACACGGGTGCGGTGCAGGGCCGCTTCACCATCTCCAAGGACAACGGGCAGAGCAGCCTCTACCTGCAGATGAACAGCCTCAAGGTGGAGGACACGGCCACCTACTACTGCGCCAAAGGTTCTACTGCTGGTGCTTGGGCTGCTGCTGGTGCTTGGACTGCTTATGCTGGTAACAACTAGCAGCCTCTTGGGTTGCACCCATGGGTGCCAATGACCATGAGCTCTCCAAGGCCATCAGGAGAGACCACCAATGTCCTGGTCAATGGTGTCACCGGGAGCACCATAACAACAACCAGCACCAGCACTAGCACCTTTGGCGCAGTAGTAGGTGGCCGTGTCCTCCACCTTGAGGCTGTTCATCTGCAGGTAGACGCTGCTCTGCCCGTTGTCCCTGGAGATGGTGAAGCGGCCCTGCACCGCATCCGCGTACCAGGTGCTACCACCATCGCTCTCAATACCCGCAACGTATTCGGGCGCCTTCCCGGGTGGTTGACGGAACCAGCCCATGCTGAAGCTGCTGAAGGTGAAGCCTGAGGCCTTACAGGACATGAAGGTCCAAGGGGCACATGGAGCTGGTCGAGTCCGGAGGCGGCCTCCAGGCGCCCGGCGGGAGCCGCCGCCTCTCCTGCAATCACCTTCAGCAGCTCCGCCATGTTGTGGTTCCGACAACCGCCCGGGAAGGCGCCCGAGTTCGTCGCCTATATTAACAGCGGTGGTAGTGGCACCAGCTACGCGGATGCGGTGCAGGGCCGCTTCACCATCTCCAGGGACAACGGGCAGAGCAGCCTCTACCTGCAGATGAACAGCCTCAAGGTGGAGGACACGGCCACCTACTACTGCGCCAAAGCTGCTGCTGCTGGTGCTGGTTGGAATGCTGATGCTACTTATGACGACACTATCAGTGGCTCTGGGGTCCTCTACACCAAGTTGCAGCTGATGCCACCATGGGATTCACTGCATCCATGATGGCCATGAGGTCGCCCAGTTGACCAAGAGGGGCCCAGCGAGGACGTCGGCCCATGGCCTCACCAGTAATTGCACCACCAGCATGAGCGCCCTTGGCACAGTAGTGGTTGTCCCCAAGGTGGAGGACACGGCCACCTA